ACACTTAATTTCAAGGCTGTACACTTTCACAAAATCATCGTACACTTAATTTGAAATTTTCAGTATAGGTACCCCTCGCCCCTCATATAAGGCTGGTATGGCCAAATCACTTAATTTCATAGTAATATCATATGTGAAGGCAAAATTTTTACCTACACTTAATGTACACTTTTTTAAGACCATAATACATTACATAAAATTTTAGATTTAGAAAAAAGCTACCCCGGGCAAAATTATGAGGACCCCAAAAAAAGAGGTCGATTTTTTGAAAAAAAATTTCAGGTACACTTCGAAACAAAATGTTGTACACTTACCTACACTTCCTCTACACTTAATTGAAACAATAAATTTTGAAAAAAAATTATGTAGCAAAATTATGACTACACAGCCGAATGTTGCTGTCATGCGCTTTGCTATTTTGTCCCGAATACCTTGTCGGGCACCCCAATGATATTGCTTCTGTGATATTTTGATGTTTTCCTTTGATAAAACCAAAATAAAAACAATCAATACATTGAATCTAGAAAATTATGAAATTTAAATTTAAAAAAACATTATTTAATCAACTTACTTCGACACAAGTTTCAATGTTCCGACGAAATCCAGCATAGTATGTGTTCACGCCAGGATCAAGTGGGATGATAAACGTGTAATCACCGGCTTCAAGTTTTTGTTTGATTCGTTCGCGATTGAATTCGGTCTTCTCACGTTTTGGTATTTCGAATAGTACCGAAGCCGAAACGCTATCGCACACAATCATACGATGAAATTGCTGGTTTGGTCTTTTGAGTTCATTGATTTTCTTCATGTCGAATAAAATATTCCAAGCGTCGTATGGGTTTTCCTCAAAATGATTTTTGCTATACATAGAACTTCCTCCATCTTTGCCACCGAATTCTTCTGGAATCAGTTTCCATCGAGCCAATAGTGCTAACAAATCCGTATGATCGAATTTGATGTGTTTGAGTTTATTATCACATAACGGTACAACGGTGATATTGCGAATCTTTGGCGGCAGTGGTTGCATCGGTTTTTCGAACAAACAATGGATTTTTCTTGTGTCGCAGCCATGCGTGCACTAGCTGTTGACGTTCTGCCTTGAATTCACTAATTTCACGTTGTATTTGGATAAAAGAATAAAGTGATTCAAACCACTTTTTCTCGATGTATTGAGTCATTGTGAGATAATCGCCAAATGATGGTAAACAACGTTCTTTCACCGCAACAAACAGCTCATTCATTTTGAATTTTCGAACTGGATCGCCTTCACTCCAGTCTTTATTGCGCATAATGCTTTCGATTGCGTTTCGGATATCGATGTCATCAAATTTGAATAATCTGTACGGTTCCTGATTGAATTGGTAGCGCTTCATTTGCAAGAAGTTCGCCAATTCCTTCTCACAATGTGTGGTATGCTGTGTTGTCACATTGCTGAGGTATTGTTGATGCATATACTCAAATGCATTTCCCATCAGGTCACGAGATGGCCACTCAAATTCGTTGTTAGTCAATTCCTCGGCCATTTCAATAAACTCGTCTGGCATTTGATTTGTAAATTCACAATTGGTGCGTGCCACAGCGGTGAAAATTTGACGAATTTCTTTTTTCCCATTAGTTTTAATAAAATAATCGAAATCATCGATATCAAACGCCTCGTTGACTTTATACAGCAATAAAAGTGACGCCAGATACGATATTTTTGTTGCTATCAAGCATTTGCAATAAAAGTGTTCGACGAGGTAATCTGCATATTCATCTCTGAATATTGAGTTGGCTGGTACTTTACGTGTTCGTATTTCGACATTTTCTTCCTTCTTTTCCTTTCTTTCTTGGAACACCACCAAAAATTTTAGGCCCTCGCCTTTTTGCCATTGTGGTTCTAATGAAAATTATTAGTTTATTTTATTATGACAGAGTCTCCATTATATAATTGAACAATATTTCGATGTATTAATACCTTT